GTCGTGGGCTCTGGGCCTCCAGTTGGATTCGTGGGAGGCATTATTATGGGCTCTAGATATTCAGCTGGACTCATGCAGGACATTATCACGGGATCCAGGCCCTCAGTGGGATTTCTGGTCTATAGTGTGTGGACAGATTTCGTGCACTCTCTTGTATATCATCCTTTGGGTGACTGTTATAAATAACCTTATACAGTATGTATCCAGCATTGTATTGTTTCTCCTTACAGTATCCCCCAACCACAACAGTATTGGAAATGAAGTTATAGACATTTCAGGAACCCAATCCACTATGAACACCCATGTACAAGTCTCTGTTGAAGTCCTTGCTTTTTATTCTTTTGGTTCTTTTGAATTCCTTTGGGTACTTAGGAGTGAACTGATGGGTGGTTTGATACTGTTTAGCTTTTTGAGGAACTGCCTATGTGGGTTCACCTTGTCCTGACTGCAGCTGTCTTGAGCATGACTACTAGTGGGTAACCCTGTTGGTTTTGCCCGTGTAGTTTTCCAGCACACTGTAAATACACAGAACAGTTAGAGTGGTATGTGGAGCTTTATGGCTGGGCCCTGACTGGACCTGGTGCTATTAGCACCATGAATGTGCCAGAAGTCTTTGATATTAACTTGAGATGAACCAGGTATATTTTTGCCTTGGATAAAGTCACTTTTGTCTTCACTATTACATTATGCCCTCTTTTTAACCCAAACCACAGAGCTCTAACTTTTACTGACACCCAGGACTATGCTCAGTAAGTCCCCAATAAATTGTATTCTGTGCAACTCTGCATCCGTCTGCTTCTTGTCCTCGGTCTTACCATGCCTTGGGGCCAGTTTTCAGACACAGGGACCGGTTGGTCTGGAACACTGCTGAACTGTTTCACTCAGTGAGTGTCTCATTTTATATTCCCACCAACTGCTTAAAAGACATCCCATTTTTCCATAGCCTTCCTAATACTTGTCATTTTCCATTTCTGGTTTTTATAAAAAAATAGTCGTCCTAGTAGATGTGGAGGGGTACATCACTTCACATTTATGCTTTTGCTCTGCATTTCTGTAATGACTTGATAAGGAGTGCATTTTCTGGTGATTATGGCCATTTAAATATCTTCTTTGTAGAAATATCTAGTCAGGCCCTTTGCCATCTTTAAATTGGGCTGTCTTTTTGTTAGTTACAGGATATGTATTCTGGATATTAAACCCCTTTCAAATGGATGAACTACAAATATGTTTTCTCATTCTATATTTTTTTCACTTTCTTAAAAATGTCATTCGATGCAACAAGATGTTTATGAAGTCCAACAACTTTTTTGGTGAAGTCCAATTTATGTATTTTTTTGTTTTTCATGCCTTTGATTTTATAAATATTCACTATCAAACCCAAAGTCCTTAAGATTAACCTTCATATTTTGTTCTAAGAATTTTGTGCTCTTAGTTCTTATATTTAGGTTGTTGGTCCCATTTGAATTAATTTTTGTTTATGGTATGGGGCAGGAATTTAACTTCATTCTTTGTGGCTATGCTGTATCTCAGCACTATCAGTAAAGAGATTATTCTTTCCTTTTTGAATAGTGTCTCAGTTACTTTTCTCTCACTGCTGAGACAAAATACCCAACACCCAAAATGAAGGAAAGAGAGGTTTATTTAGCTCACAGTTTGTGGAAATTTTAGTCCATAGTCAGATGGCTGCAAGGCGGAGTGGCACATGGCACAGGGCAACTGTTCATGGTAGCAGAAAACAGCAAAACAGCAAGAGCAAAAAGGGAGGCATGGAAGATAGCAAGCCTCTTTCCCTTCCTTATACTGTATGCAGGCTGCCCGCTCCAGGGTGGGTGTAGCACTCACACTCATAAACCCAGCATTAGACCATGGATCAATCATAAACTCTAGAAGCCCACCTATGACTGTATGAGGTCTTGGGGGGCTATCTAGACACAAACCATAGCATTCTACCCCCCAGCCACCAAAGACTCATTCACATCCCTTTATGCAAAAGACATTTTAGTCCATCTCTAAGCGTTGCCAAAGTCCTAACAGCTTTAGAATTGCTGAAAAGCCCAAGTTCTGAGTCTCCTCCAAGATGTAAGGCAAACTCTTAACTGTGAGCCCCTGTGCAAATGAAAACAAAATTAAACCCTTCCAACATTCAATGGTATAAGATAAATATTACCTTTCCAAAAGGTACAAACAGGGGAATACAAAGCATTGGGATCAAAGTAAGTCCAAAATCCAGCAGGGCAAACATGAAGTCTTGTAGTTCCACATTCAACATCCAAGGCGATCTGTGGCAAATTGTGAGCTCCGTGTGGCTCCACCTCTATGGCACTTCTGGTGGTTGTAACTCCCGTGGCTTTTCTCTTGGGCCTGCTTTGCTCCCTCCTTGCAGCTTTCCTTAGACAATCCACGTTCCTGGCTTTTCCAAACTTCTATGGTCTCCACTGCACCTTTTGCTTCACACTCACAGCTTCACATACTGCCTCTCAGGGGCACACTGCCTGGCCTATCAGGTCTCTTGAAATCTAGGTGGAAGCCTTCTTAACCTCAGAACTCTTGCATTCTACATACACCTAAAACCAGCACTACATGGATGACGCCAAACTCATCTTTTCTATTCTCCTGTCCCTTCTCAACAATTGAGATCTCCTCAGCTCTATCTTTGCAGTCCACAGCTTTACTGGAAGTTCTTTTCTGGCCAAACTCACAACATTTTAAGTCATTCTGCTGGGCTCTCGCTCCTGATTCTCAACATAAATCTGGCTAATATCCATGCCACCACCCCAACATTAGACTGCCTTGAAATTTCTTCAGCCAGATTATTTAGTCTGCCGCCCTTAATCTTAGTCTCAGGCAAAAATCTCTGGATATGAGCAAAATGCAGATAAACTTTTTGCCAAGCCATAACACACATTGTCTGGGGTGTAACAACCAGTGCAGTCTTTCTCCCCAGCAGAAACCTCCCGAACCTGGTCTTTACTGGCAGGATTTCTGTCAGTCTTCTGGTCTTCTGAGCTCTGACAAGATTCTCTCGTACAGAACAGCCTAAGGCGTCCCATCCGAACCTTTCCAAACTCTTTGCACAAGCAATTCCCAAAGGTTCTTGAACTACATGGTGAGGTATAGTCACAGCAATGACCCCTCTCCACTGGTACCGAATTCTGTCTTGGTTACTTTTCTCTCATTGCTGGGACAAAATACCCAACACCCAAAATTAGGGAAGGAAAGGTTTATTTAGCTCACAGTTTGTGGAGGTTTTAGTCTGTAATCAGCTGGCTCCAAGGCAGAGTAGCACATGGTACAAGGCCACCTTCATGGTGGTGGAAAACAGCAAAAGCAGCAAGAGCTAAAAGAGAGGTGCAGCAGAGAGCAAGGCTCTTTCCCTTCCTTGTGTTGTATACAGGGTGCCTGCCCCAGGGCGGATGTAGCACTCACCCATAATCCCAGCATTGGACCATGAATCAATCAAAAACTCTGACGTCTGCCCCATGACTGCATGAGGCTTTGGGAGGACCTCTAGACAGAAACCATAACAAATAGACTTAGTATCCTTGTCAAAAATCAATCAGCAATGTATGGATTTATTTTTTAATTATTTATTTTTTATATATATAAAGTGTTTATGTTCATAGCAGACAATGATTATGTTCACTGTGGGAAGTGGGTGCACACACACGTCTTAATTCTTTCCATTGTCCTTCCCTTCTCTTCCCCGTCCCCATCTCAAGATCCCTTCTCACTGACCAAAGACCTATCCTCCTACTTCCTGTTGTCTCTGTCTTCCTTTGTTCTTGAAATGATTTATACTTCAGATCTCTATGTCTATTCTCATGTCAGAATCACACTATGTTCCTTACAATAGATTTTGGTGAATTTTGAAATAGAGAATGTGAGTCCTCCATCCACGTACTACTTTCCCAAGATTCTTTTACTATTTGGAGTCCCTTGAAATTCTGTATTAATTTTGAGGCTTGGTTTTTCCATTTCTGCAATAAAGATACGGCAATTTTGATAGTTAATGCATTGAAGCTGCAGACTGACTGGGGTAGTACCAACAACTTGAAAATATTAAATCTTCTTGTCTGTGAACACAGGATATCTTTACATATATTTAGGTCTTGTAAGCTACTTCTTGATACTCTTTAGCAGAATGCTAACTTGGTGAAAACTGTGCAACTCTTTCTAAATGTGTCAAAACCCATTGACCAAAAAGCTCTAAATGCTGAATGATAGCATTAGAACACATTTCACTGCAGTTCACAAGGTATCACTTTATTTTCATATAAATAATTGCTACAGATGAAGGAAAACCATTTTGACCATCAGTATTTACTTGGGGAATTATTTTTTTAGGGTGCAGATGAAGGAATATGGAATATATCTTCAGAGTGGCAGGGGACATAGGGACAAACACACAAGATTGAAAGCGTAAAAGCATATTCTCATGAGGACCAAGCAATCCTTGTTATTGGAGGACCAAATCGAATCATCATTAATGTAAGTAGAATCAAAGTTCACAATCTGTAAATCTTTCTTAAGATAGGCATGATTTAGTTTATTTACAGTTCGAGCAAAGGCGTATTTAGAAGCACAACTATATGCTTCTAAACTGTATACTTTCTTGAAGTGCAGATCAAAAAATGGATTGTCCTAGAAGAGAAAGAGACATGATTTAATTTGTAGCCACAAAAGTAGTTGCCTGGATTCTTTCATGTTCTTTTGGATATGTGTTTTGACTGTAAAGGGTCAATGTAAAACATATTTCTGAAACCTACAAATGAGTTTCTTAAAGCTATCTCCTTCAAAAATAATTGCTTTTAAAGAAAGAAATAATAAAAATTAAGCCAGGTATGGTAAAATAAGCTTGTTAAACCAACACTCTGAGAAGCTGAAAGCAGGAAGATTTCAAGTTCGAGTCCAATCTTGGCAATTTAGCAGTGAGATGTTTTTTCAAAATAAAATGTAAAAGGGCTAGGGACATATCTTAGTGTGAAGGCCCTGTGTCCAGTCCCCAGTACCCCCCCCCACACACAGAAAAATTACTTTTAAGCATGTATGCTTTCTTAATTATACAAATGAAACAGGTCACAGAATGTGGAATAATCAGTTCTTCCCAGTCCAGTGAATTTCAGAGAATGAGCAGGGATGGAAGAAGACAATAAATTTGCTTATAGACTTCTGGAAGGGAGAAAAGACCTCTCTCTGCCTTTACTAGGACTTGGGTCCTTTATGCTATTTTAAAAGATAAGTAGGGGAAATTCAAAATGGCTAATTAGCCTTTAGCGTACTACAGATCACCAACTTGATGACTTTTAAATTAACAGCAAGGAGTTATCTTTGTCATTAATAGCCTACAGACCATTGGGTTATTTGACTGAAGCACAAATTACTACTGATTGCCCCCTATTGGACTAATATATTTCTAGTGGAGGTGTTTTCAAGAAAAGGGGACATGACATCTAATCTATGCCCTATAGCTTAAATCAGTAACAACTGCTACCATTATTAACCACAGTGATAAGGAGCCTGGCATTTATTCCATGTACAAAATGCATTTTTGTTTATAAAATGGTTTTACTCTCAATATCTGCCTAACTTTTAACTCTCCTCGAAGGCAAAGATTCCGTAACTGTTTATCTTTGTGCTCCTGATGTTTATCCATGGCAACGACTAAGCTCCCAGCAGAGTGTTGGACTGATCTGAAGTAATCTCATATAAAAGGAGAAGTGGAGGGAAACATTACTCTACACGACACACAAGAGTATTAGTTCATTTGCATGTAGTTCGTAAACATTACATGCAAACAATTCATGTATTTTCAAACAGGAGCATTTTTGCAAAAAGGCTGGAAAAAGAACGTGGGTCTTGAAGTTAGATAACATTTTTGATTCTCTAATATAACCAGTTATGACCTACTACTGTACTTGTATGATTTGACCATCACCTTTCTGTTGTTTTGTTTTGAAACAGGGTCTTGCTTTGTAGTGCAGGCTGGCTGCTAGCTTGCAGCAATCCTCCTGCTTCAGCGTCCTGAGTGCTGGGATTACAGGAGTGCACCACTGCACCTAGCTGACCATCACTTTTCTCCCAGTTTCAGGCAGAGCTGCTATGAAATTTACATGAGATTAATCATACGAACTGCCTAGTATGGAGCTTAATAAACTATGGTTCCCTTTCTCAGACTGATATTGGGGTTAATACTATCTTGCTTTATAGCATTATTTAAAAAACAGAAAACAAGGCTTTTAAAAAGAATATATAAGAGTGATATCATTGTGAAGGCAGTGCCTCCCTCGTCATACGTCACAATTTTTAAAATAGATGTCATAATTTCAGGTTGACAGATCATTTGGCAGAAATCTCAGTGAAAGGAAATCGTATCCATTCTATCACCAGACAATAACATGCTCCTATGTAGTTTTTCTCTCCCAAACTTTTGTTTTTCATCATGTAGAAAATTGCCTTCATGTCTTTGAGATCCTTAGAAAGGATTAATCTTTTCTTTTCATGTAATAATTGAAGGCTGAGGATACATGCACATAGAGTGTAAGTCCCTTCCTTTCTTTCTTCATCTCTCCCTCCCTCATTATTTCTTTCTTTGATAGAATTCTAGAGCTGAAGGGTGGCTCTCACAGACTGCTTGGTAATCCCTTGCTCATAGTTGGGGTAACAGTTTTCAGAGAAGTGACATTCAAGCTGCATTTGTAGTTATTGGCAGAGCCAGGACAAGAATGAAAATGCTCGTCGGTGCAGCCCCATCTTTTGCTACATAATTCTATCACACTCCAAATCCCACACCATTTTTGTTTCTGCTTCATGGATTGACTTCAATTTCAGTTCCATTTCATTTTAGCTGACAACTTTCTGGCTTGGAGTTGCCTTACTTACAACTGTATCATTGCCATTGAGAAAAATGTAATAAACGCTGACTCCTGAGGACTCTATTCCAAGAGAGAGAAGTAGAAATTCTCAGGACAGTGAGGTATTTTTACTTCATCTGTAGAAAATAAATCTTTAAAAGAGTTATGTTTTTTGATAACAGTTTTATATTACGAGTCTACAAGTGGTAAGAAAAATAAAATCGCTCAACTTCTCTTCTGTATTTAGCTCACTATCAACAATCATAATCTTGAAAGAGAGGAATAAGCAATGTTGGGAGAATTAGAGGTTAGGGAAGGTAAGAAAAAGATAGAACACAGCCAACCACTTCAATTAGTCAAATTTGGCAGACCTGATGGACATGTTCCAGGCATTAGCCAAAATTATAGAAAAATTGTGATATCAGTAATAGCTGAGAAATTCAAGAAAAGAGAAGGAGAAAAGGAAGAAGGAGACAGAGAGGGAGAGAGAACAAGAAGGAGAAGAAGAGGAGGAGGACGTGAAGAAGAGGAAGAGGAGGAGGAAGAAATTGGGGAAAAAACCGAGCAAAGACAGTTAATTCCTGAATTGTACTTTGGCAAACTTGATGTGGATTACTGATATAATTGAATGCAGTGCGGAAATTCAGCAGTACAGAAAAATATAAAGAGGAAAATAATAATTTGTAACTATCACATAACTATTAGTAAAGTACTAGTTTGTTTCATTTATACTTGTATTTACACCCATATGTATACCTAAAGCATTTTTGTGTTAAAAAATTTAAGATGTAGATTTCAATAACATGATAGATAATATTTCAATAACATGATAGATAATATTTCAATAACATGATAGACAATATGCAAATTTGACATACTGTTTAGTAAAGTTTTGTACTCAGCTGAGTTTTTAAAACTTTATAAAATGCTGAACAATTGTGTTCTGAGGTATTCTTTTGAAAACACATTTTTGAAACAGCCTGTTGCTAGACACAGGTGCAAGTCTCTCGATCCTTCTTTTCAATCCTGGCCTTCCTTCCAGCCGTCACACCTCAGTGACAGGAGTCACTGGTGAGGAGGTAATATGCTATTTTTGACAACCCTTAAGCTGTAACTACTTGTTAGATCTTTCCTGCATATCTCTGTCTTCCTGAGAAAACACTTTGAAGATGCCACCATGTATTACAGCAGCCATTGATATTTTCCTGCTAATCTATCCATAACTCTGTAATGTTTGTATTGTTCCTATCCTATTTTGTAAATGGATGCATGTTTATTATTATGTGTTTCCTACAACAACCATTGAGAATAGTTAATGATTATTCAATAGGTCACTCATGTGTAGCTCTATTTATTTTCTTTAGAAGC